GCGTTCATGGTCACGGGACAGACTGAGGTGTTAGACGTCTGATTGTCATAGTTAACCCGGGCTACCGTCAGTTTTTGAATTATTAATTTTGTGTTCGATCTATGCAGACCGGACAACAAGAAATTATTTCTAAAGGTTGTCAACGCATCTGTAACCCTCGGGTGTGGCAGATGTCCATGGGCGTCGGTATTCATCTATCATCAGGTGAACCGTCTGCTCGTTTGGCAGCTATTCACATAAAAAGAAAAAAATACAGCCTGGTGACAAATGGACGGACAGATAGACAGACAGCGGAATCTTAGTAAAAAGACATTCGACGAGTCCACTAACACCTTTTTTTTCATAAAAAAATCTTCGTTGTTGCACAAATGGGCAGGTCCGTCCATCCGCGTTTTGTCTGATGAGTGAGGTAGCCGGAGCCCACTTTATAAAAAGGTGGCAACGCATCTCCATAATCTACAGTTGTTGCAAATTTCAATACGCTGCGGTTACTTAACATTAGCGTGTAACCTTTCACAAAAAAAACTATTTGCGTAATTTACGTTCGCACTTTCAGTACGAAGACTAAACCGTCTTTATTAAAGCTTTATTGAACGCATGCCCTATGGTGAGGCTAATTAAAATATAATTACGGACTACAAACATCAAACAGAGAAAGGCTACAGTTTTTGATAATGTGATGTGTTCTTGTGTAACGTTTTAATAAAGGAATAACATCACATTAAACTTTTTAAATGAATCTCATATTAAAGCTATTAGCTGTTGCCATTTAATTTGAATGTAATAATAATTATTTAGGACACATTTGTACACAACATTTTCTAGTCCCAAACTAAGCAAAGCTTGTAATATGGGTACTAGAAAACTGATAAACATACTTAAACATACTTTTCTTTTGTAAATAAATACATATTATACATATAGAAACACCCAGACACTAGAAAAACACCATGTTCATCACACAATATTTTTCCAGTAGTGGGGATCGAACCCACACCCTCTGGCGCAGGAGGCAGGTACACTACCCACTACGCCATTCGGGTCGCCAATAACAGTGAACTTGTTGTTCATACTATATTCAAATATTAGCTATGTCAAGCTTAGGTTTTTTTTTTAATTTAGTTTATAAATCATTGAGAGAAGTAACGAATCCTGTTTATCTATGTCCATTTGTTTTTAAGATAATTCCTAGATTCGCGAGGAAACAAATCGTATTCGCGATCTGTTCCGTCAGGTGGCGATGAAGTTCAATATTTAATGGACGGTGCAAATTAAGCCAGTAGAGGAGACAACAAGACATCTGTTAACGTTATTTTTTATGATATTCGCAAGCTGTTTGTTATTTGGTCTATTGGTTTATTGTCTTATCATCATCAATTCAATATACTAGCAACCTTAGTTCAAATGTCGGTGCACAAGCCAAGTTGTTAATTATAAGTGACGACTTATCACATACTCAGCGAAGATGTGTGAAGTCCGCCAATCCGCGTGGTGTAGCGGGGCACAAACGCCCTCTGCATATGAGAAGCCTTTGCCCAGCATTGGGACATAATTATGTGGACTGTTAGTTCACTTATTGGAAATTTTCATTCAATAAGATCAAACCATTTAGTACCTCTATGGCTAGTAGTTGATGGGGTCATTGGTCGCAAGTATTAATGTGGTTAGGGAGGCAATTACTAGTTGGTTGTTACGAACAAGAACAACTGCGATTTATTTATCTGACGTATGCGCTTGCTTTACGGTGAGGTTTCGTAATGAACGGATTTGAAGGATATTTGGTCTTGACTGCCAAGGAAGGTTTACGTTTTACGCGCGAATCTTGTATGCACATTTGTAAATTTGTTTGTAACCTCATACCTTCGGAAAGACCGAATATATTTCAACAGTTAAGGTATCGCTATCGTGTTCGTCTAAAAATTCTATATATAATATAATATCTGTAATAAAATTCTCGCTTCCTTAGATTCGTGTTTGGAAAAAACCAAAATGGCGGATTATTGGTGGGAAATAGTAATACGTTAGTAAAAAAAATTATAATTAAAGGTTCGTATGACCTGTGGTCTATGATTAATACCCGTGTGTCCAGTCAGATAATAGCTACCGATCGAGCCGAGGTCCGGCCCTCTCGGGCACCCTCGAATCGGAATGCTAAACGCGTGCTGAGTGACAGCCCAAGCCGAGGTCCCCTCTCGGGGACCCTTGAGCCTGATCACTCCATGGAGCGCCCGCCAAAGCGCCCTAAGAGCTTGGCGGCCTCCCAAACCGGTAATAATAATAGCGTGACGGCCCGAGCCGAGGCTCCCCCGGGAGCCCTCGAGCTTAGTCACCATAACGCGTAATAATAGTACGCCGAGGTCCAGGCTAGGCGCCTCGTGCGCCAGGCCACCTCAAGTCCGTCGGATCTGTAAAGGCCCCTAAGGCCAACAGTGGCTCATCCAGCCCAAAAAAAAAAAATAAATAAAACTCGTGTGTATCAATCACATATGATTGACAAAACCACAGCGGTAGTCTTATACCTTTCTGCAATTTCCTCTGCGTACAGTATTCTCAGATGAAGAAAAGGCTTAGTTCACCTAAAGGGTCACAAGCGAAGAATTGTACACGACAATGAAAATGCCATGTTTTATCTGAATGTTTTGTATCAAACACTTGCACAGTTTTACAGCTCTACCGTTTAAGACAAATTGTTACGGGCGAGTCGTGTTTTGTTTTTATGTCAGGGTATGTTGCTAGCTTAGCTTTTAACGACACAAGGGGCAATTTAGGCGATGTCAGCATCCTTGAGCCGTTACATTATTACAAACGAAAGTAAAAATGTTATCACAGTTGTGTTTTATGAAAACAAAAACATTGCATTACATTTGTCGATATTAGTAAAGGTGTTTCATCTTTGAGGGCTGAATTCAAATTTAACCCGTTTAAGGCGTGAATTATATGAAATGTTCTTGATGGTATAGAATATAATAATTCAAAAATTCTTTGAAGAAATCTCCTAGGGGCTCTCCAGATTTATGAAATTTAGTATCTATGTGCTTAATATATATATATATCATGAAATTTAGTATGTGCGCAGATTAGGGGGCGAAAAATCGATCTAGCTAGGTTTCATTTTTAGAAAATGTCCTTTATGCCTGTTTTCAGGGAATGAAAAATATCATTCGAATATGGCGGTAAACTTCGCCGAAAAAAAAAAGTTATAATAGCTCGGTCGGTAATCGGGCGGCCCCGAAACAGTAGGCCGCGGTTCGTGTCACGATCATTGACACACTTATTTTTTTTTTACTTTTTTTATACCAGATCATTGCTTTCTTCATTTTTTATTTTTTTTTATTTCCAAAATACACGATTTACCAAAAAAAACGAGCAAAGCCCGATCCTCCAGGTACTACTGTATCTACGACATATATTATCTACGTCGCGAGTCGGACTCGCGCACGTCGGGTTCCGTACCATTATCTATAGAAACGGAAAAAACAGACAAACAGACAGCGGAGTCTTAGAAATTGGGTCCCGCTTGTTTCCGCATTTTGCGTACGAAACTCTATAAACGGGCGTGATGATGAACTGGGCGTGATGATGATCTCTGCCTACGCTTTCGGTTTTATTGGCACTTTAACTCGGTTACGCGCGATTTGCAATAAGAAACTAATTGGTGTATATTTCACTTTAACGACACTACTGACGTGCATGCCCTTACGTTTCCTCAATCCTATTCTGATTCTGTACTCGCCTTCTGGACCATTCTAGAAATGACGCCGGCATCGGAATCTCTGATGGCAATTACGAATAATCTTTTAAAAACATTGTTTACACAGGACCAGGCGAACTCGTCCGGTCCTCACTGTTGCGTAATGAAATTAACGGCACGTGGAATAAATTGCTCCGTTGCACGTGCTATTTAATAACAATGAATCGGTATCATTAATTCTAAAGCGGTTGAAATGACTGCACCATGTAAATAAATGCAATAGCGTACTTTATTTTGGGAACGATTTGAATATTTTGGTGGAAACTTGCGTCAGATTTTTCTCATTTTTCATAAGCGAAAAAACTGGTTATTTAGACCTGTATTGCGCGATGTCGATAACATTTTACGCGTTAACCATTTTATTTTTCTTCTATAGTTTGCCTTGAATCGACTGTATAAATTTTACGTTGTCCTAAAATCATCGGAAAAACATTAAAAATTAAATCGGCTGTGTCTTCAAAACGTTTCATTTGAACGCTATAGGCTAGGAAATAAAAATTTTAATGATAGGAAAATGTGATTCACAAAATTTTTTCACCTAAATAAGCATTTATGTTTACACATTAACTATTAGAATAATTTCAATTTACGGGGGATTTCCGCAAATGGAAGAAAACTACCGCCATTTTATTTAAAAATGACAGAGACATCAAAATATCAACGATATTTATTCTGCTCGTGACAATAGACGGTGCACAGCATCCAAATCAACGAACATAAAAAAAAAACATTGAACGATTAGAAAATTATTTGAACTTAAACACAGATTATTGATATAAAATTTTCCTGTGCTAAAACTGCAATGCGTCGATGTGATTGTAGAAAAATATTACTTTAATCCGAAAAGGCTATAAAAAGTAATTAACAGTATCAAAGTTTAATCCCTTATTTAATTTAATAGATTTAGTCTTGTAAATATTAGATCAGTAAAGATTGTACATGTATAGTGGAAAAAAAATTTCTTCCATTAAACGGTAGCTGCAGCAGATAACTGTAATTGTCGCAAATTCCATTCGATCCAGATCCATAGTTCTATAGGTAACAAAGAGAGAAACAAAAATCAAGGCGAGAAAGTTTTTCGCGCGCAAACACATCCGCGACAATGATGGCGAAATGTCGACCATTAAACAGAAACGAAACGTAAAACGACGAACGTTCGGAGGTAACGATTGATTGTTGCAAATAAATATTCAAGTAAATATCGTTTAAAGGTAACACACTAAGGGAGCGGTCGAGTCGCGAGCCGTACCTTGAATCTCAGGCCGCCGACAGGTGGCTTGGCGTAGGGGATGCTGGTGAACGCAGCTATCTTCCTCCCACCCCTCGTCTCCAGATAGTGGCCTCTCAGCCGGCCCAGCGGGGTGCGCACGGTCGGCGGACCAGCGATGGCGGAGGCGCACAACGACAACAACAGTCCGACGCCCGGGAGCATTTTCGACACCACCCGCGCCCAACGGATGCGCGTAACCGAATGGAGCCGACGGCTCAACGTCGCTGGTATTTAAATCAACCCTAGGCCACACAGAGAAGCTGTTTCCAGCGCCGCTCCGACCGTCGACCACCGCGGTGATGGCGGATTGATCGCTCTCGCTTTCTTGTTACCACGCCTCTGCAACAGCCCTGCACGGCTGTGTGCTGCCGTTACCGCGAATCAGAAGGGCTGTCTCCAAAGCCGCGATGTAACTAAGCACGTTAAGTCTATTCGTTAGTGTGTGTTACGCTACATGTCGCCATAAGTGTTGACTTAAACTTAAAAAGATACCAAAAATATAAAAACTTAATGAATAAATTTAAGTAACTTAATTATAACAATCACTGACCGACCTTTTTTCTCAATACCATTAGATAAATGAAAGGTATTTAGGGAGAAGGTCGGTATATGAAAGGTCGACATGGTTTTTAAATGAATATTATAACTCGTAATCGTTAATCCAGTCGCTCTAACGAGATTCGACTTTGAAAATTTGAAATTTAAAATTGTAACGAAAATAAACTAGACAATAACCTAAAATAACCTTTCTAGGTTATTTAAAAATGCTTTTTTAGAAGTCAGCTAACTTTATACGTCCGACAATATCTTCAAACTACAACCTATCTTCGGAAACTTTTATATAAAACTTATTTTAAAAATCGACGATTTTAACTTTACACAATTTTTTTTATGTGAGTAAGTGGCAAACGATCTGGCGGTTCACCTGATGTGATATCCGCCGCCCATGGACATTTGCAGCACTCGTAGGGTTGCACATGCGTTGTCACTTTTAAATAAAGTGGGCCCCGGCTACCTCACCAGACGAAACGCAGAAGTGCAACACTTCAACTTTACGTCGGTCTTCTGTGAGGTTGTGTTACTTACCCGGACGAACCTGCCCATTCGTGCAACAGTGTTGCTTGGCCCTACCACCGCACGTAATTCTACAAGTAAATCAAATTAATTAAAAATAAAAACTGGAGTATGAAAAAGAAAAATTGAAGTAAATGACTATACTTATATATAACCTGAGTGCAATAAAAACAGTACCGTTGTCAAAATGATGAGCGTTTATGGATCTCATCGTTAAATCGTAACCAAATTTATATTGGAACAACCTCTTTACAGTGAAAACGAATTAATGAAACCGAACAATGTTAAAAATCATCTTTGAGCATGTGCGAAAAAAAAGTTCCGGCGCATCAGAGACGATTGTATTAGAGCGGAATGTCCACAGGACTACATTTACCGGTACGAAAGCCAAAATGACGCATCAAAGCATTAGTGGTGGCAAGAAATAAAAGGTACAGTCACGGCTTGTTATAGGAAAATTTCTGGGGAAGCACAAGCCACAGAAGACGAACCGTTTTCCCTCACTGTGTCGCCGCAGGAAACGTGTCGATATGCGCTGGAGTTTAGGGTTTAATAAACATGTAATAACCAGTAACCTTATCGATTTTCGTAGTCCGTCCAAGACCGTAACTTGAAATTGTGATAGGGCCACGGAACAGTCTACGCTGTTGCTGGAATGGGCAGGTCCGTCCGGGTGGGTACCGCGACCTCGCAGAAGATTGGCGTGAACTGGAAGTTTTATACTTCTGCGCTTTGCCTGGTGATTGCGGTAGCCGGAGCACACTTTATTAAAAGGTGGAGACGCATCTGAAACCCAAAGCAACCTCAAAACAGGATGTTGCAAATATCAATGAGCGGCGGTGAAAACTTAACATCAGATGATTCACCTACACTCTTACCACTTATCATATAAAAAAGACAAAAGAATTAAGTAAACGATAATTACACAGCAGTTAAACTACAGCGGTCGGGGACGTATACCAAATGGCTGAGCAGTTAAGCCAATCCAAGGGTTAAGTTCTAATTCTTCATCCCTACTTGCATTTTAAGGATAAGAAACCACCGTGAACATTTTAAGTTCCCCTAAACGGTAATCACTAACATATTAACTACTTTGATGACTCCATGGCGCAGTTGGCAAGCTACTGGCTTCGCGACGGGAGTCGTGGGTTCGATCCCCGCACACGGGACAACTATTTGTGTGACCCATAGACAGCTGTTTCGCATCTGGGTATTTTTCTGTTCTTTTTTTTAGGTTTATGTTTGTAAGACGTCAATCCTAAACAATGTTTTCTAAAAACAAAAAGTACTAAACGGTTTGTGTCTGATGTTTGACTGTATTTTTCCTTTTTATATTAACTGAACTTGGTTTGACATGTGTTTGTGCCCTAAAATTCGTGTTACACAAATAGTCTCAATACTCGAGTCAAACCTGAAGACTACAAAACTGAACAACATTAACACATATATAAGTAACATACAAGGGTCGAGTTTACGAGTTCAAGGCTAACTGTCAAATAATAACCGTGAAATTACTCAACAAATTAATGAACCTTCAAATAATTATTTCAGTTCAAAAAAATACTAATAACGAAAACACATTTATGAATATATATATCTTCATTAATAAAGTACAATATCTAATACTGAGACCATTTTTATCTTTTTAAAATTGAGCTTTAGTATTATAGGCGAAGTGTTAGAAGGTCCATAAGACAGTCATCGCCTAGTGTGTGTCAGAAATAAAGTAAATTGTAATTTAGATTATTTAGAATAAAAAATTTCGCGCAATCAAAATTTCCAACATTCGTTCGTGAACTTTCTATCCTAATAAATAAGTATTACAAATTACTACAAGCATTAAAGAAAATTTGCTGGTTTTGATACTTAGTAATATTATGAACATAAGAGACGTTGGAATCCTTTAGTCAATATTGATCCACTTGAGCCGTCTATTGAGATATTGTTTGAAATCGACAATAATACACCATCGTATTTTATATAGAACGGAACAGTTGCACAAATTTTAGTTGTGATGATATTATTGATATGGTAGACATCTTTATATATACATATAATCATAAATTATAAATATAATATATATAATTCTTCTGTACGTGTGTATGTCACTGAACTAAACGGCTGAACGGCTTTTCCGTCTCCAAGTCGATTCGAGAATGGTTTCGATTCACAATTCGGGAGACTACAATGTTTTTTTTTTTATTTCTTAACTTATACGTGGTCTTAATCGTACAGAGAACCAAAAAATAAAGATTCAATAAAATTGGCTGTCTAATGTACACAGCACCAAAAAAAGAAAAAGACAGAAATATAAATAAAATTGGTTCTCTAATAGATCGAGTTGAAGAGTTTTGATAAAAATGGATATAATTACGTACATACAAGATATTCTCGAATATGTACAGCGACGTTATAGCTTAAAATGTGTTTTACATAAATACAGATTTCAAACCAATGAAATTTTAGAAATATTAATGCATATATTTATACCTTAATTTCTTTTTTGTATTGGATATATAATATATAATGAGCCGTGATAGCTCAGTGTCGGGCGCTCGCCTTTATTTCAATATACTCGAGAGACCTGAGTTCGGTCCCCGGTGCCGGCACCAATTAAGTTTTTGACTTTAAGTGCTTACTTATCACGTTCCCAGCGTTGAAGGAAAATATCGTAAAGAAATAATAACGAAAAAATTTTTCAAAGATATGTGAAGTCCACCAATCCGCAGTTGGGCCGCGTGGTGGACTATGCCCTGATACCCTCTCCATAGAGGAGGCCTTTGCCCAGCAGTGGGACATGTATAGGCTGTTACTTACTTATATATTTTTATATATTTCCAGATGTAATTTATCTATTAGCGTCTGTATAGTAAAATAATATGCAATAACTGTTTTTTGGACGTGTCATAAAGCATATAAAAGCGATAAATCATTTCCGCAAAACGATTTCTTTTAGATAATGTTAGTGCGTCCGAAAGTTACTAACAACGGAACCAACTAATTAGACGTATGCTTTTTTGTTATTAAAAAGCAATTACCCTTATCCTTGCCTTGTCACAAATGCCCTTTTACGGTGGTAGGGCAGCAGCCTCGGCTGTTGCACGAATGGGCAGGCCCGTCCGGGTAAGTACCATGACCTCACAGAAGACAAGCGTAAAGTGGAAGTACGACAAATACTTTCGCGTTTCGTCTGGTGAGTGAGGTGGCCGGAGCCCAATTTCCAAAAAGGTTGTCAACGCATCTGTAACCCTCTGGTGTGGCAGATGTCCACGGGCGGCGGTATTCACTTAACATCACGTGAACCGTCTGCTCGTTTGACAAATTTTCGCATAAAAAAACCCGTTATAAAACTATGTTGGCAACGACAATTTAGAAAAACAAATTTCAAATGGTAAACCTGGAGCGTTGGAACAATTATCCGGGAGTTTACCAACGGCACCGACACTAACAGGCATTAACTCTTTAACAATGCCTTAGACCGGACCGCCATTCTTAAGTCTACTGTAAATCAACATTAGCAAAAACTATATAGCGGAAAACCTGCGGTTCCGGATGTTTCACCTTGTTGCCTTTCGATGTGTTCACCTTTTTTCATTTAGTAATAACTGTTTAAATCACCATTATAGACAGTTATCCATTATCCCGGAGTGTTCCTAACGTCTGGGAGATTTGCTAAAGTCGTTCCAATACACAAAAGTGCCAATGTTGATAATAATAATAACAAGAATAAACACTTTATTTGTAGAAAAACATGGCTGTACAAACGCATCGTGATGTTATTTCATAACCTTAAGTGTCGCATGTTTTCCCTACAAATATTTATTGTGCTGTTCTTGGCAGAGATTGATATATTTTCAATAAGTTTAAAATTTACAGAAGATTTTTTGACTATCGGTCTAGCTCAATAGTCTATCTACAGATAGATTTGGGCACTAGAGATTTGGGCACTAGACTAGGTTTCACTAGAGGTAAGTTTTCTAGAGCTAATGTTATTTACATGTTAATAACATTAGCTCTAGAAAACTTACGTCGAAATTATTTATTCTGATGACTCTATGGCGCAGTTGCCAAGATATCGCCTTCGGCGCCGGGGGTCGTGGTTCGATTCCCACTCGACACAACTATATGTCTGACCCGCAGATAATGTTTCGAATCTGGGTGTTTTTCCACGAGAAAATGTTTGTAAGATGTTCTTACATCACAGGGTAATTTAATCAGAAACGGCGATGTTTTAAACAAAATATCTATTTCCAATAAACAAATCTATATGTGTTTAGAACATTGATACCGGCCAAACGAACAGACCTATTTTTTTACTGTCAGCGCTTGCAACCCCTTTACATCAATCTAATTGTTCACATATTATTTAACTGTGGCATGGACACGCAACAGGTTTTTCTGTTGCACAATTGGGCAGGCCCGTCCGGGTAATTACCACGAACTCACAGAAAACCTGCGTAGAGTGGGGTGTTACACTTCTGCGTTTCGTCCGGTGAGTGAGGTAGCCGGGGCCCACTTTATTTAAAGGTGGCAACGCATTTCCAACCCTAAGGGTGTTGCAAGTGTCCAAGGGCGGCGGTTTACACGACATCAGATGAACCGCCCGCTCGTTTGTCGCTTATTCACATAAAAAAAACATATTCGTAGATTTGACCGGTTACTGTAGTTTCGTTTAAAACAACGCACATTGCTATTACGCCCCCAAATAGCAATTCAGCGCCTTATCATAAACTGTTGTTAAGTCGCAGCGTAGAGTTATTAATTAATATTATTATGTTGATATTAATTATCATTCGTTAAGTTCGATTTCTGCCAAGTTGGCTTGTTAACTTTATTAACCTGAAATTATTTATGTCGTTATTTTTCATTTTAACACAGCTTTCAGTGCGCCTGTGCCCTGTATATGAAACACGTAATGTAGCTTAAACTAATGATATATACACGTATATAAGAAATACCTATGGATAACCTTTTTTGTATTGTTCGGTCGGCTCACTGAAACCTCATTAGAACGGATAGAGCGCATACAAAAACAACCGTGAATCATCACGCACAAACAGAACAGTAACCATTTTACGTAAAAATAAATGGAAGTCAAGAATCTCAATAATTTTATTGTGTAGTCTCTTGATCTTATAAATATAAATATATCCCTAATCGCATACATCTTATAATATGAATCCATCCTTATCGAATGTTCCCATACTGTACACAAGTAAATAATGAAGAGGGAGGATGTGGTAACATTTTATATAATATATAAAATGCCTCTCCTTCTAACAGTATGTTTTATCTCTTTTAAATTCATTCAACCCATTCATATGCTTTGTGACCTTTACAGATGAACTTTACGTTACAGTTTTATACGTAAGGCTGTTCTAAAATTCTTTGTATTGGAAAATTTAATAACACTGTAAATAGTGATGTTTAAAGAATGTAAATGTTTAATACAATTTTAAAAAGTGATCTTCTATGTCGCGATTGTAAAGACACGCTGTATATATAAGAGATTTCCATCGATAATTGACTCATCTGGATATCTCTGGCACCATAAGGCGTAGAGACTTGAAATTTGGTAGGAATATTCCTTTCGCCGAGTAGAGGTCAGCTAACAACGGATTTTACGAAATGTTACCTGTTAGGTCCGCTAGTTAAATATAAAATATCCTCTAGTTAGACTCCGCCGCATTTTTGAGTTAATGAATATTTATTTAGTTTCAACAAACACAATTATGTTGACAGTTAAAAGAATATATGTATATCTTAGACATTGAATTTCGATCATTCAAATGCGTGTGCAACCCAGTCCATTGCGGTCTCTCGTTATTAAACTATTCGCGATTAACCGCATTAGATTTAGATAGCATTGTAACCTTGTCTTAATCCTCAACGTTTGAACTTAGTTGGAGAGTTACTGTGGACTATCTGTGGATTTGGTTACTATTGGTAGGTGGGTGAATTTAGCTCCACAATCGATAAGTTAAAATTCTATCTCCAGTAACCAAATCTACAGTCTATTCAGTCCATCAACTCAAGACTCAAGAGCCAGATGTTCGCCTCCCGGATAAGGATAGATGGCGCTAACGTAAGAGTTAATAATTGGCTAAACTAACGATTAATCAAGTCTATTTTGCAATAGACAGAAGAGATGAGAGCAAAAAGAAACAAGAAAGAATATCATAGAAAAGTAAGGATTTCTACAATCATACCTTGTTTTTGTTAATTGATAAAAACACTAAAATTAGTAGCGGAACAATTTAGAAATCGTACTGACACATGGTGGATAATAAGTGAGTTCAAGTCAGGTGGCTTTTTATAGCTTTTGCATGCCAGCGTTTTGTGTAGTAGGTTTGATAAAAAAAAACTGTATATTACTATAGTAGTATCTATTGTCGGAATCTGGGCATACTTCCTTTCCCTTTTCGTGTTTTCGAAATCGTGATTTAAAATAAAAAGGAAAAACGGATAGAAGTTTTTAAACAATAAATATTTTTAATAGCTCTCACTTGGGCGGTTTCTTTTCAGTTTGAAAATTACTGACGATTCGGGCGATTCACCTGATGTTAAGTGAAGACCGCCGCCCATCGACATCTGCAACGCTTGATGGCTTGCAGAAGCGTTGGCAACTTTTAAAAACGAGCGCCGTACCTCACTCACCACACGTAACGCGAAAGTTTACTTCCACTTCAAGCCACATAAATAGTTGTCCCGTGTGGGGATCGAACCCACCACCCAAACCCCGAAGCCAATACCTTGGCAACTGCGCCACGGAGTCATCAAAGATATAGTATGTTGAGATGTTGTATATTACCCTTCAGTTCATAGTTTCAATCCCTGGACTAGCTCAGATACAATAGTGTACAAAATATAGAATCATTATAATAAGTTGGGCGCCTTGTCTGTTAGGAACAGACTGTTGTAATAATTACAATTAAGTATCTCCGGGAGTCGTGAGTACATAGGACCTACACATTACTTTGTGCGACCATAACAGGTTAAATAATTAAATTAATTTGAGATTATGAAAGTTATGCAATTCAATTTAAGTACAAAGTCCAATCAGGAAGATAATTTTAAATCTATATCACCGCAGACACCTGCCCTGTGTGCACAGGTCAGCATTCGGCTCAGAACCAGTAGAGAAAATCAGGCCAAGTGTAGTGTGTACAGCCACACTGTTGGGGGGTATGTAGGAGACCTCCAACTGGAGGTAAAAAACACTATTTAATCGAGCAGCAGCTCAGGCCAGCTTACCAGCCACCTATGCCTTCAGCATCCACCACGAGGGATAACAAATCCAGCACAGAGTTTCCCAGACAGCAATCACAAATAATACGACCAGGAACGTGTTCTGATTTCAACCTCTAGCCATGCGCGGTCTAAGATAATAGATCCGCAAAAACTAATTTATCCAATGTCAATTCGAACCGTCAAGACTCAAACGACAAGAAGTAACAAATGAACTTAACTTTTACATTCGTCATTTCGAACAGGCAAAGGTTCATATAACATGCAGCCTTGTCTTCAGAAAAACAACAATTTAGACAAAGTGTTGAAATCACCCGTTACACCGCTCTCATATGAGGCCGTGGTCTACAGGAGTAGACTGGCCGTTCGTGCAACATCAGATGCTGTTGTGTGGCCCACGCACACCGAAACATTCAGCGATGTAGGTACGCGTTGTTTTATATCAACGCGTCAGTAAGACATATATGTGTCGTTCAAAATATTTGGGAGTCGATAACCGTCTATGCAAATCTGGGACGAGCCTATTCAAAACGAAGCTTGGATTCGGCGAATATATGCGCTAGTCCCATCCATACTCGGATGACTCTATTCCTCTTAAGGATGACGGGAGTGTTTCGAATGTCAATCGCAGTCCAACAGTTGATTGTGGCCTTCGAACGGACGAACTCGTTGGCGAATAGAGCTATTGTTTTCGGTTATTGTGTATAGAATCGGCGAATGGATCGAGGCTGAATCCGATACGATTCAAAATTGAAAAGACAAAAAAATAAGAACTTTTGAGCCATGAAATGAGCATGGGCATGGAACCTGTGCAACTTAATAAGAAATAAGTATTACTCTACCCGAAGGCGTTTCAAGCCAAACATAAACAAAAAACAGATGTGCCATTGAACAGTGTCTACTTTATCAGCCAGATCGTATAGAACACATCGAGATAACGAAGACACTAAGTGACGATAAACACGAAGATATGCGAACCAGCTAAGTTGAGATGCGTTGCAAAACTGCTTCCACAGGAGGCACAGTCAGAATATAACATCCAAAGAAAGAATAGTGATCTAGCGGTGAGCATTAAGCGTTCTCGCTGCTCCTACTATACATCGGATGATGGATAATATAGATAAATATAAAGATATTGAACAAACAGTTCATATATAAAAATATAAGAGTAAAGTAACAAACTATACATATCCCACTGCTGGGCAAAGGCCTCTTTTGCAGAGGATATTAGGGCATAGTCCACCGCGGCCCCACTGCGGATTGACGGACTCACATATCTTCGAAAAATATATTTTTTTGTTATTATTTCGAAAATATGCAGGTTTCCATACTTCAATTAACATTCAATGCGATTCTGTGACGCAGTTGCCTAGTTATTGGCGTCGGCGCCGGGCGTCGTGGGCTCGATTCCCACACGGGACTACTATCTGTATGACAGATAATTGTTTCGGTTCTGGTTGGGCATCCACGTAAAATTTATTTTTGTAAAACTCTCTTTCAACACTGAATAATGTTATGCTTCACCAAGGACAATATAAATAAAATAGAGAAAGAAAAAGACTTCTTGGTTCCACATGCACATCCACTTTTTTGAGGGCTGACGTCATGACCATATTGGGGACTGCAAAAAGAAAGAACACTCGTACAAGAGGTTTAATATTTTTAAGGGGCTAAACAGTTAGCGTTGCTTGGAACTGGCCGGAGTTTGGTGTATTTTTCTGTTGAGTACGAGCAACAAATCCTGCAGTGTCAACGACCTCCTGGGCCGGTGGCGGGCGAGTCTGTCCCGTGTTGGGGTCGCGTCCGTTTCCGGCGGCTTGGCCTTCGGCGCCAAGGTGATTTTCCGCTTCCTGTACCCGCGGGTGCCTTGGCGCTTGGGCTCCCTCCCCCTCAGCTCCTCTATGTACTTCAGGATGCTCTCGTTCTGCCGCGCGATCCTCTCCGTCGTGCTGCGTATGCGCGTCAGGTCGCTGCTCAGCCGCGGCAGCTGCACCCTGTTCACCAGCTCGAACTTCTCCGAGATGCTGTTGACGGCGGTGGCCACGCGGCCCGCTGGGTCCACGCTGCCGGCCGGGTGGCGGCACAGCGCGCACGTCCAGTGGTAGCCGGCGCCGGGGTCGCCGGGGTCACCGAGGTCACCCGGGTCAGCCGGGTCACCCGGGTCACCAGAGGTCACCGCCCCCCGCGCAAGAGTCGCCACGCGGTTCGCAGTCGCTGCACTTGACGCCCTCTCCGCCTTCCAGCGCCCTCCGGCAGCTGCCGCATATCATCCTGGAAGGACGCGAGCTAGATATAAATGCGGTGAAAAAAAAAAAACAACATCCCGAAAGGTTTCACAGGGTATCAATTGTCTGACATTAATTAAATTCTAGCAACAACTCGACTTCGTAGAATAATTAATTATTTTATGGGATAACGTTTTTGGAACAATATCCCAGAAAACTTTCAACATGTATCAATTGAAAGAAAAAATAATGTAAAGGAACCTTTGTGTGTGGCAACTTTAATATTATTGATTATTTAAATGATGGTAACTGGTAATGAATTTATTGCTCCAGGCTCATTCAAGTGGACTTTAATACATCGTAAACATGTTTGTTTGTCATAAAAATAGACATAATGGTAAAAAAACTTCTTAGGTCAGTTTTTTTTTACCGAACCGGTGGTAGTGTTTTGACAATCAATAAGTGACTGTAATGCTTCTATGATTATTGAATTAAGACATTTGAATAAAGATGGTTGGGCCTGTCACCTTGACCTTGAGTGTCTGCTGCTCAACATGGGGCTCGGAGGGGTGATGTGCTAGTTGCACCGGCACAACGTCATTTATCCGCACTGGGTGCCGTGTCAAGCGAAAGATGGAGCGAGAAGAGGAGGCCTAAGAAGGCCATAGTCGCGGAATCAGGGCCGGATTTGGGAGAGGGCAACCGGGGCTACAGCCCCGGGGCCGGCTGTGGGGCCCCCAAGAGACTTTAGAAAAAAAATAGAATTGAGACTAGTAAATACTAGTCAACAACTTTTAATTTTAGATAATTCTTGTTTCCGCTTATATTTATGTTATTTAAATAATGAAATAATCTATACCTACTTGGCTTCACAATAAATTATTTATTGGAAAAGTAGACTGAAAAAGATTGTTCATTTTATGTGGAAAACAATTTGGGGCAGGGGCCTCCGACCTCTAAATCCGGCCCTGAGCGGAAGATTGCGTTTTCGTGTTCCCGTGTCCCCGGCTGATGCGACAGAGACCGGTACAACGTGGGTTTTTTAGTGGGTTTATTATTCATGTATTATACATATTAACATTCCTCTTGAATCACTCTATCCAGTAAAAAACCGCATCAAGATCCGTTGCGTAGTTTTAAAGATCTAAGCATACATAGGGACAGACAGACAGCGGGGCGACTTTGTTTTGTACTATGTGTGTACTGGTGATTGATGTGCCACTGAGCTGTCACAGAAAAAAGTTCTCACAAACTGCTTTTATCTCATGTTAAGTGCAAAGAATAGCGCTGTAAAAATTAATATCATTTAATATATACTGCACGTCACGTCGAATAAATTTAATTAAGCCTGAAACACGGCCAACATTATAAAACCCGCCGCACACTGTACCCGATAGTTAAGCGACATGATATGTCGCTTAACTATCGGGTAGTTAAGCGACACATCTGTCAAAGTAGTGGACAGATCAAATATTGGCATTGATGTAGATGATAAATCGTCACACCAGACACCCTAAGATTCCTTTTTTCGCAGGCTCCACGCATGTATATTACAAAATAATAAATAAATAAATATTGTAGGAAATATTTTTACACAACGTTCTCTAGTCCCAAACTGAGCAACGCTTGTACTATGGCTGATAAACATACTTAAAAATACTTTTCTTATGTAAATAAATACATATATAATCACCCAGACAAAAGAAAAACAATATGTTCATCATACAATATTTTTCCACTTGTGGGGATCGAACCTACACCCCCTGGCGCAGGAGGCAGGTACACTAACCACTACGCCATTCGGGACGTTGGTCGTAGTCGGGCAGTAGGTATGTAAACAATATGTATGATATGTTAATACATATATAACAATAATATGTAGCGAAAATCTGAAATAAATCTAAATAATTTGGTTTCATAAATTTTATATCACCATTTCATGTTTTATATAATAAAGGTATGTGATATGAGAATTTTTAGGCACCGAAAGGGCGGGCAGTTTTTTTCAATGTGGCAGGGCCACCGCACCAGTATCCACTGTTGTAAAAATGGGCAGGGCCGTCCGGGTAAGTACCGCGAACTCACAGAAGATCGGCGTGAAGTAGAAGTGTTACACTTCTGCGTTTCGTGTGGTCAGTGAGTTAGACGGGGCCCACTATATTAAACGGTTGCAACGCGTCTGCAACCCAACGGGAGTTGCAAATGTCCATGGGCGGCGGTTGTCACTTAGCATCAGGTGAACCGCCAGAAAATTTGCTATTATGTCACATAAAATTATACACAGTTTTAGTCATCTGCCAACAAAAATTGTGTCTACACGGAGAATTGGAATGAAACTAAAAGACGAGTGCCATGGAGATGACTCGATGGGTAATGCGAAAGCAAGCGGTGTGCCAATGGCTTCCTCCTGAAGAGACCACTCACCCACTGAGCCAGCCCACAGTTTCTAAAGCAGACTGGTAAATTATTCGAACCATACGGCCGCAGTTCCCCGCAACAACGTGGTAATTCCCCAGTACCCATTTTTGATTATACTGTACATATAATTAACGTTTTAAGGTTTAACAAATTCGTGGAAAAACTGTGGTGAAAGGAAAGATTGGCCACTGAACTTAGGAAATTACCATAATTATGATAGATAACAATTAAAACCGAGTCACTCAAATTCGTATTAAAAACAATGTGCGGAGTATGAAACAAAACTATAATTAGGCTATCAAATTGTTTGTCTTATCGTAATTTGACTTTTTGCTTTAATTTATTTGACGGCTTTTGATCACAGACAAATTATTTTTTTATTCATATATGCATATTTAAGTAATTATTTAAATGTTAACGCAATTTATTCTATCGTTCTATAATTTGCTCTGAAGCTCTTTACGTATAATAATATCACGGAGTTTATCTGCATTTAAATTACGGAAAATACGTATGATTGCTATAACATAATAAAATACAATAATTCAAACTATCCAAAATGAAACTACTACTCTACGCTTCAAACAAGGGACATTATACAGCACCCTGTTACTTATGAAAGCATCTCTAGGCGCCCCGTGCGCCAGGCCCCCTCAAGCCCGTCGGAACTGTGAAGGCCCCTAAGGCCAACAGTGGCTCATCCAGACCAAAAAAAACCTCTTGACAAGTGATCCCTAGTTTCTCCTATTACCTTAACTATCGTGTTAACCTCCCAAGAATTTGCTTTGGCTCCGCTGACAACGCGAACACAATAATTTTGTTCATGCGAAACGAATGTGTACGGTCATTTGTACCCCGTTGTATCAACCTCTATTCACATTCTGCAAAATAGGACGGACGGAATATTTACAGGAAACACTAGAACATTTTACAACGACGGCGAATCCTTAAAATTTAACTCGTGACATTTATCTAGCTGACACTTCAAGACTTCTATGGGCGAAGATAATTGCGTATTGTTTCCGGCCAGATAGGTTTTCAATTAGAGCTAATGCATCTTCTACAGATACCGTTGATACGTAAAAAGAAGTATAAGTATAATCTAATATATTACTCATATTGAAACGCCAGAAATTAATTACACCAGGTTTCAACAGGAGTCATTCGGATAAATTTAGATAGGCTCCTAATCACTAGAGGGATGGGCTTGAAATAACCAGTTAGATGACAAAACATAACACGCATATTGACTAATTAACTTGGAAGTTAACTTCAACGGTAATGGTCAAGTCGAAAACATGCCGAGGTGGTTAAACGGTGAATTGAAGAAAACTAATACAAGCATTAGAAGAAAAAAAACACGAATCATAAATTTAGGCTCGAAACCGTCGATCAAACAGCCGCAGTGATGGAAACCACGAAACGCCATTAGGTAACCTTTTTTTAAAACGGAGACCTTGAAAGAGCGACTTATTCGAGAATTCACGGTCGCTTTGAAAACCAGCCGTGTTCTATTACTGACCTTTCGTCGTATACGTGACGATGAGTAAAAAGGCACGACCTCATCAGCCGGCCTTCGTTAGAACTTAAAACATAATTGTGTATAAACATTTTTTTTATAATTCTTACGTCAGTGGTAAATTAGGCTCTTGTAGGCATTTCTAAGATAGGCATGAAATACGCGATGGTAACGCTTATCTATATGTCGTTTAGTAGGTACACATTGTCAATTAGGAATAAGATTTTATTTGTAAAAAAGTTTAACCTTTGACAAATATAACATAGTTCGTTTCGACAGTGTGCGCCAGTCTTGTGCGTATGATTTGTAGGCTTACGAGTTCCATGAACTGACAACTAGCTATAGAGTGAGGAACTTTTCAGGGGGTAATTAATGCTCAGTCAACGGATGATTTTATTTTATTTTATTTGGTACACAAAACAGCAAACAGTAATGTACACATTAATATACACATTTTAACAAATCAGAGTAAGAATGGGGTGGTGTGTAATCGTTAATGAATCTATTCGATTATCGATTATTAATCTCAAAGAAATGGAATCGGCATAGGTACATGCTGAATTGATTGATATAAAAAAAGGAATTAACTGTTGCTTGGCTTCTGTCTATTTTTTTAGCGAGGTGCTATAGAGATTCCTTCCAACTATTACCCTTGGTGATTTAAAGTTATTATAAACTTTTTAGTGCTAACCATTTTTTGAAAAGTCTTTGTTAAAAAAATATTTTTATGATTCTATTCTATTCTTACGTCAGTGGTTAATTTGTGGTTGATATGTGGTTAATTTTAATACTTAGTTATTATAATGTATAGGTAGACGTAGCAGAGATGCTCCTCGTTAGAGAAAACGCCGCCAAACTGGATCTGGTACTGAAAAAAGAAAACAAAAAATTATTTAAAGCAAATAAAGAAGAATGTCTCTCCATCTATATTTAAACACCATCGCTTGAAAGTGATTCGGCTTATAGCGAAATAGGTCAAAGTATAATCGCAAGTATGACTATAATCGGTACTATACCAGCGCGCGTTGCAAGGCAGGTTTGAAAAATATCAATTGAGAAATAAGAGCACTGATTATCACTCAATTACTGAGACGACCCGAATGGCGTAGTGGGTAGTGTACCCGCCTCCTGCGCCAGAGGGTGTGGGTTCGATCCCCACTACTGGAAATATTGTGTGATGAACATAGTGTTTTTCTAGTTTTCATATTATACATATATTAACACCCAGACAGGGTGTTAATATATGTATAATATGTATTTATTTACAAAAGAAACGTATGTTTAAGTACGTTTATCAGTTTTCTAGTAGCCATAGTACAAGTTTTCCTTAGTTTGGGACTAGAGAATGTTGTGTAAAAAATGTGTCCATTAAAAAAAATACAGAGTAATAGAACAAGCAGACGCGGTAGCGTAGTTGGTAAACTATCCGATCGAATTTTATTCTCCAGTTCTGCCATCATACAACATAAAGTTAAAAGCAGAGGTACCCATTATCCTTTTGAGAATTTGATGTCCTTCCTTCTAATTTGATTTGAGTGCGAATTGGTTATCGCACGGTTGGTTATTCCTGGCTCTTTCCTTTAGCAGCAATAAAAATAATTTATACGCGCCCATTCCTGGAAATTCAACTAAAAACATAGTAGACAGAGAAGAGTGTAGTTTATAAAAGTGCATAAGAGTTAGTTGAGGCCTCACGTAGGTCATTATCGGATCAAGGCCTAATCAATCAACACCGAAACAATGGAGTAAATTGTCGTAATACTGAACAAATTAACTAGATAATCTTTCTCGTCTGTCTGTCGTTCTGTAATAACAGGCAGATCTCGGTCTACGCGGAGGAAGCCGCGGGCTGAGCTAGGTACTTGTTAACTAAACTGACCACTTTTTGTCTAACTCAAAACGGGACATTGGTTTACAATTAAACTAAACATAACTTTTCAATTTTCTTTATTCCGAAAAGATTAAAATTAATAGATACAAAGAAAACAACATCAGTTCACTATTTTTATTAAAACAACATTGTTATGTTTTTAAATATATAATTATATTTCTCAGAGGAACAAATTTGTTTTAATAAAGAAGGTGACGATTTTAAATAAGAATAAAATAAAAACAAAACTTCAAATTATCTACAAAACTATTTAACGTGAGCGTGGCTAGCCTATTGAAAGAAACAAATGACAAGATTGATGAATAAATTGAAAGTAAAACATGCGGGGAATAACTGAGCACGGTTCCGCGCTGCTCATGATCATGTCTAACGAGCATAGTTTTAAAATTTCACGCGGTTTCAGAAAACGGGACAATTTTGCGTCCCGAAGATTTGTTCGGGGACAAAGGGACAGCTGTCCGAGAAAAGGGACAGTCCCGTTCAAAACGGGACGTATGGTCAGTTTATTGTTAACTGTTAGACGTGTGCTTTTTACAATACTTATAATTTACAAGTGCTTTCATTGTGAAATGGAATGTTTGACGTATCTTACGAATAAATCATCGAAATTATCACAGAAACAAAAGGCGTGACAAAAAAAGAATTTATTATATAAAGAAGCTATTGCATATTATGTACACTATAGAATTATATAAAATAATAAAATAGTACAAGAATAATGTTAAATAATTACAACACTCATTTCGTATTTTTATTAATCACGTTTATGAAGTGAGCTTCTGTCGTGTGTGTCCACACATTTATTACTATATAAAATATTTGGAGATTTTCTCTATTTTTAAGCAGTTTTATTTCTTCTGAGCATTAAGAATACGCTTCAATTGGGTCAACCCTTCCTTGAAGTCGAATTACCCACCTTTCGTTAATAGGGAGCGCGGATCTCCGCCATTAATGAAAGGTGGACTGTGTGTTTTCACCCGAGTTCGGAGGTTTATCCGCGGATTTATTCTTTTGGAAAAAATATGAGAGTACTTAAAATTTTTACACACAACCAATAAGCGACATGATGAAGTTGTTTGCAAAGCGACCAACTTCACGGTATCACCATGGCAACCAGTAAAAACCAGTAAACGTAGTGATTACATTCTCTTTGGTAAGAACTTTTTGACATTTACATTTAAATCAAAGTTATTTCATTAAATCGTTATCAGGTGATAACATTTTAGTTACCTAGTTTTCTTTAATTACGGTAAAAAAGTGTAACTTCTTACTACTAAAGTACTTAGATATATTTTTTCCGATGTAGTTGTTAAAGGCCAAAATGTATAATATAGTTCATCATGCAATATTTGGATTAATACAAAATATATCCACTACAAAAAGTTTATCGAGGAAGTCTTAAGGATATTTGTAACGATATTTTTTTTAAGCGACATCTAGTGCGTATAACCACAACAAAGTAGGTAAATGTTACATCAACAAATTTATAAGTTATCATTGTTAATACCTAGATGTCGGTTACTGTCTTATATGCTAAATCAAAAAAAACCAAAGGAAAACCACAAAACAAAGTATAACCACAACAAAGTAGGTAAATGTTACATCAACAAATTTATAAGTTATCATTGTTAATACCTAAATGTCGCTTACTGTCTTATATGCAATAGAAAAAAAAAAAATTATCTGTAATGTACTGCAAAACTAGAGGAGTTTGCGTCATAATGATCTAGTTCAAGGATGAGCAACGCGCGGCCCGCGGGACGATTGCTTTTCTAAAATTGAATTTATTTTATCGAATTTCTCCCATCAATATATTGTTATAATATTAATTATAATAAAATGGATAAATATACTGAACCGAAATATTTTTTGTTCGTTTTTCTGTTCTTTTCTTGTTTGTTTTTACCTTGCATTAAAATTTGTATAAATATAAAATAATAAAAAAAAATATATAAAATTTGTATATATGTATGAAATATACAAATTTTAATCCAAGGTAAAAACTTTACTTTTTTTATTTTATTTTTTTTATTCTAATATTTGTTATAAGTAAACTTTCGTAAATTATTATGTGCGGCCCGCTAAAAAAATTTAAATTTAAATTGGCCCATTTATTAAAAAGGTTGCTCACCCCTGATCTAGTTGATTGTCATTATCTTTCTTAACTTTTGTACAACAAGATCCCAGTAAATGCGCAAAACCTGCCTATCAACCGGTTTAAAATTTTTTTTATAGAAAAGGCTAATCCGTTGATAGTTCCCATGGTGTTTCTACAAAAACCGGCCGTGCTACGTGAACTCGTGCACGAAGGATTACGTACCATCTATAAAAATGTTCTAAGGGACCCCACTTAAAAATATATATTCTGATTTTTGTATTCGTTGCTATCATCTCTGAAAATATCAGCTGTCGAACTAACATGGTTTATGAGATGCAGTCCGGTGATTGTTTGTACGTACCCAAAGGGTACAAACAATTCCATTCTTAATTTTTTCGCGTTTGGGGGTCCCCATAAAATATGTTTAATTTTTTAATGTAACGATAATGTTTTTAGAAAAGACTCCTTATTGTCTTTTTTAATTTTATTATATATATAATTTTATTGATACAGATTTTCTTTCGCCTGTTTCTTCTCCGTCATAGGAACCTCATTACGAAACGGTGGTAGGCTAAAATAATTACTAGATAAATGACATGTTACCCAATAGTTAACATTTATTCATCGACATAGGAAATTCCTAGTTGGTAAATGTTAGAACTTGGAACATTGACGCCCGGTTTCTGAAACAATGATAATCTTAGATGTTAACTAATCAGCTGCCAAATGGCTCTTCAAGTGCCATTTGAGTTGCCAAAAGGATGGTCAAAATCTACGAATTGATCATTCTTATCATTAAGAAGATCACTCTGATCAATTCAGAGAGTTTAACCATCCTTTTGGCAACTTCAATAACAATTGAAAAGCAATTTGACAGCTGATTAGTTAACTTCTATGATGATCAGTGTTTCAGAAACCAGGCGTTAGTAAAAAAAAAAATTACCAGTTTAATATATGAGTTAGAATAGATATTCAATCGTTATATTTATAACCTAGATAGCCCAGTTTTATCATTTTATTTGTGAACACTAATGATAGGTTATCTACTTTTTTATCAATGTTTATCCAAATGTTATTACTTATTTTAATTGTTAGGTTATAAGTACCACTCAGAATGTGGCCATAACATTATCTTTTATAACATTGTTTCACAAGATTCCTTTTTATGCCGAAATTTTTGTAAAATACCATGTTATAGAATTATTATAATGAATGAAAGTAAATTAATATGTAACAATTGAGGGAGCAATTAAAAAAGCGAAAAAAGTGTAAAATGAAATATATTTAATGATTATAAGTTATTTAAGTGCAGTATAACAATGATAAGGTAAAAATAACAAGTACATTGCAGTATACCCATATTTCCTGTATGTGTGTAAATAGATTAACCCTATAAGCTATAGTAAAATAATATTTAATTCAGTCCCAAAGTTTACAGATTAGCATGGTACTTCTTGTATGGAGCCAATCCAGCAGCAACTTTACTGCCAAGGTCAGGGTGAACTTGGGTGAAGATTTTGATTGCCCTCTCCTGAATGAAACCGGCAGCGTCCTTTAAGTTGCCGACAATATTTGTAATAAGACGCTGCTTGGCTGCATCATCAAATACTTGCTTATAAAGGTTTGTAGCCTGCGAAAAGTTGTCTTCAGTCTGTCCACTGTCATATCTGTCAACGTCACCGGTAACGTTGTATCTAGGCTGCAGGCGTTGGGCCCGAGGGCATTCCTGTGGTCCTGAGAAGGAGTTGGGGAAGTAGTTGGGGCAGCCCTCCTGATTTTGCATAGCCTGGGGGCCATCTCGCTGGTAGTTCGATACCGATACACGATATGGGCAGTTGACAGGGATCTGCAAGAAGTTCGCGCCCAAGCGGTGGCGATGCGTATCGCTGTAAGAGAACAGGCGACCCTGCAACATCTTATCCGGCGATGGCTCAATACCAGGCACTAAGTTTGATGGACTGAAGGCAATCTGCTCAACCTCAGCAAAGTAATTCTTCGGGTTTCTGTCAAGAACCAGCTTACCTACGGGAATGAGGGGATATTCAGAGTGCGACCAGACCTTTGTCAGGTCAAATGGATTGAATTTGCAGCTCTCAGCTTGAGCCATTGTCATCACTTGGATGTAGAATGTCCAGCTTGGGTAGTCGCCCCTTCCAATGGCGTTGTACAAGTCCCTTATAGAATAGTCTGGGTCAGTAGAAGCAAGCTCTGCAGCTTTGTCAACAGGCAGATTCTTTATGCCTTGGTTGGTTTTGTAGTGAAACTTGACCCAGTGTGCCACCCCTTGTGCATTTACTAGTTTAAAGGTGTGAGATCCATAACCATTCATGTGTCTGTAACCATCAGGAATGCCACGGTCACCAAAAAGATAGATTACTTGATGAGTTGCCTCCGGCCTCAAGGTCAAAAAATCCCAGAACATGTCTGGATCTTTTAGGTGAGTGGCTGGGTTCCTTTTCTGTGTGTGAATAAAGCTTGGGAAGAGGGTAGGGTCTCTGATGAAGAATATTGGTGTATTATTGCCAACCAGATCCCAGTTGCCATCATCAGTGTAGAATTTGACAGCAAAACCTCTTGGATCACGCACAGTGTCAGCAGATCCGCTCTCTCCACCAACAGTTGAAAACCTTACAGCAATAGGAGTTCTTTTGCCAATTGATTCAAAGACTTTGGCAGCGGAGTACTTCGTAATGTCATGGGTCACCTCAAAATATCCAAAAGCACCGGCTCCTTTGGCATGCACCACACGCTCAGGGATGCGCTCTCTGTCAAATGAGGATATCTCATCAAGGAAGTTAACATCTTGCAGAAGGGCAGGCCCATTCTTGCCAACAGTTTGGATTGCAGTCTTAACTCCAACCGGAGCACCAGATTTTGTCGTAATATACCCGGGTGAATCCTGGAAAACAATGCAATAAAAAACTGATTATGCCATTTAGGAATATTATTATGACATTTAGAGAGTTGTGGGTAACTGGTGGATGCAAATGGTAAAGTGTCTTCATTGTGACGGTCTAAGGGGGATGCCTATGTTCAAGAGTGGGCATATTGCTTATGATGATGATTATGACATTTATCATTACAAAATAAATTTAAACAATGTTTTAAAAAATTATGACAAAAATTTTCAATCCAAAGCCTTTACATATTTAATTGAACTCAAAATAAAGAATAATTATTTTTTAAATAATAGCAAAAACCATTCGCATTGCGCTGAGCTTAGAGAGGATTAATGAATTGTACCACTCATGGTATCCTATATCCTTAGAGGGTAATAAATTTATTAAGATTTAAACATTTTAACTTTATCATTATTTTTGTAAAAACTATAAAGTAAAATTTAAACAGTTAAAATTTTAATACTCCATTACAGTGATATACATTTGTTTTAATAGAACCAATGTTTACCACTTTGAAGCATACACAACACTATTATATATATTCTATTTCCTCTAATAACCTAAACAAATACGCACAGCTTAATCATATTTTTCCCGAATATGATAATGATGAGCAAAGTTCAAATTGGAAAATCAACACTACTTCACTTAATCACAAAAAATAGCTACGAAAAAGGAATAAAAATAGTAATAGAGATGAATGAAAGTATCCTACCTTCAAAGCCTTGCTATAGTTAACAAGTTGGTCGGAAGCTGGATCCCTTGAAGCCATTTTGCAATAAGTTTTACTTATAAATCCGGTTTTACGGAGCGACGCACTAGACGCGTGCCGTATTAACAAATGCCGCTGGATTCGATTGCTCAACCCTTTATATAGAATTTCGTACGTCGATAAACAACTATCACACCGAATAAGTGCGACCGCTAAATATTTACGTCGTACAAAATAATACATTTAACAATCTAAGGCACCGTAAGGGAGCGGATCTGATACAGAGAAAAGATAAGCTTCATTCAGCAACAATTCATTAAAATTTGTAATCTAGCTATAGTTTCTAGCAATTTATACTAAAAATAAAAAATATTAAAAATGTATTTGGGTCTAAGCTTGTAATTTTAAACAAAAAATGACACTGGTTAAGATTAGGAAAAGTTTTACACCACAGATTAAAAAACACAAAGTTAAATTCTTTGGATGCCTTTGTATTTTATGATAAGAATTAAAATTGGAGATTCTAATATTTTACAATAAACTTCCTCATACATTAATAAATAATATTTGGCCTGAAATTTTCAAAGACACAAAAACTTTGTCATGTAGAGTTGTTATCTCACTTATTAATTATACTCATTAAATAAAAATTAAAAATAAGTTAGTAGTTAGTAAATTGGTTACATTATATACAGGGTTTTTAGTTTGATTGGACTGTTATCATTTTACTGACTTTCATGTTTGCAAGTCTTCATTATCATTTATTTAGGTTTGTTTAGTGTTTCTAACCAATTCATCCTTGAATGTTGGTATAAAAATCTTATTCCAATGGGCAGACTTATCCGGAGTCATACCACCCCCTCTCAGAAAACCATTGTACAGTAGAAGTATGATATACCTTTCCTCTGGTGAGTGATGTAAATAGGTCCGCTTTTAAAAAGCTTATGGCTTTTCTCATATAAAAATATTTACATGTACAAAAAATACATCCACATATATGCAGGATTTTATACAGTCGACGACTTATAAAGACAATGTGCACACGACCACTCTTTCTAAGTTCTAATCATTTTTCCCTTATTCCCAAGTTAGCTACTTGAATTTCAATGTCAATTCTTGTCCAATTGTTACATCGCCATTGAATAAGTTACTATTTAAAAATATTAAAATTAGGAGAGGCTCCGCCGTACAGAACTGCAATAAAAGGATCATTGACACCATGATTGTGTATTTTTCATATTTTTCTAGTCCTTAGTGTACTTAATATGTACAAACGTAAGAAGTTATACTTTTAGGGTAACAAAAGAAAAATAACTAAAAACTGTATCCTCTGTGCCAGTACTCATTGTTTGTCAAAAAGACATTAATTGCAATTAATAAAAGTTTAATTAAATAACTTGGAGTTTTAAGTAAATGTCAAGAAGTTGCTATTGGTTGCCTTGCCATGGTAATACAAGTCAGTGTTGGTGTGCGCACGCATCTTAAAAACTTTTACTGTTTTTTTTCTTCCAAACGAGCCAAAAGAAGTACAATAACTTCGAATAAAATTTATCCTATTAATCCAAACAAACTTTCAACAAATTTTCAATTTCTCTGTACATATGTTACTTACATAATTGTACTTTAATTTTAATACTTTAATTGGAACGAACGAAATACATAGTGCATGCTATGATGTCCATGAAAATAATGTAATAAATTTTCTAATGATTTTATTGTTTCTAACCTCTAGTTAATAAATTCTAGCAATGTACACTAATATGAATCTGCATGTTGACTATATTCAATATTTTTATATACATAATATATTAAGCGTACAATCTTCATATTGCGCAATTGTTACAGAGTACCATAAAAAAATCTGTTTGTCATCAGATGGTAATTGTGACGTGTAGTGAAGTCGTATTATCTTCATTAGTGGCCAGGTGTGGACGGTCTCCACAGACGTTGAGCGGGTAATCTCAATTTTGCACATTTCGCTATATGCAATAAGTGAGAAAATAAATGAAATAATTACTAATAAATAATTTTAACGAATTTTCGCGGCGTTTGAGTGGAAATCGTAATATACAATGACGTTTTAATAATATTTTAATAATGTGTCATCACATATTTTGAGAGAAATTTAAAAATTGTTCCGCTTTACATTATATGACATATCAATGTGACAGATGATATAAAACGTATGATACGAAAAGACATTGCAGTCTGTTTACCCCAATTGGCTTAATTTTAATGCTTCAATTGCGTTGCACTAGCGTTATAATGTGGTAGATATTATCTACCTCGTATTTGTACATAATATCATTGGTAATATATAATACCAATATACAGCGTGTCGTTACAACGGCGACAATAAATGGCACATAGCGTTAAACACACGTTTAACGCTATGTGCCAATAATCACAAAAAAATATTAACGTTAAAAAATACAAAATTAAAAAAATATATAAGTATATAACAAACTAATTAACTAAAAAAGAAACAAAATTTGTAACATCCTATACAACTAAAAACGACAACTGATTGATTCATACATTCAGAGACTTTTTCATTCGTTGCCACAGCGTCGCATTACAAGCCTCTCCTTCTAATAGTATGTTTTAAATTCATTCAACCATTCATATGCTTTGTGACCTTTACAAGTGAACTTTACGTCACAGTTTATACGTAAGGTGTTCTAAAATTGTTTGTTTTGGAAAATTTAATAACTCAGTAAATATTGATATTTAAAGAATGTACATTTTTAATACAATTTTAAAAATTTTTCCTGTATATGTGTGTTCATTTATTGTCGCGATTGTAAAGACACGCTCTATATATTTACGGTATAAAATTACAATTGCACTCATCTAACTGCGTTTAGGGTTTAGTCATTGATATTTTATACTCTCTTTATATATCGATACCTTAATTAGCAAACAAGCTAACTCCATATGGGCAAGTTTTACAGGAGACACTTAAAACTGTATAATATTTTTTTAGACTACTTATGAGAAAATCAAAAATATAGTTGGTAGATATTATCGTAAATTGTCATTTTTGATATTATAAAATCCATTATACATTTTCATTACCATACTACAGCGTTTTTTAGGAGTTATCCGTTTTTTCTTTCGTGCAAAAGTATGTGATCTGGGAGTTAGCTGATTTTCCTGATAGATTTATTTTAAATAAAAATTTTCTTTTCCTTTTCAAGTGTACAACCAAAGCGTCGTAGGGTTTTAAAAATTGGTTATTACCAACCAGAAAAGAGTCAGGTTTATTGGTATCATCAAATTTAATTTAATTTTTTAATATCTGTTGTCATCTTCTTATGAATAGTAATTCTATTGCTAGAATTACTTTATCAACTGAGAAATTGGTTAAAATCGTTGCAAACTAATCAGAACTCAGCTTTTACCTTAATTCCATAGAAAGGAACACCCATCTCTAGTTTTCATATCATAAATACACACGTTTTGAAGGGTGGTATATAAAAGCGTTAACTTTTTTACATTTTTAAGGGTCTGTCCTATCTCTTTGCCTAATTGTATCTAAAATTTTTATTAAACAATCAACGTAAATTTTTTTTTATCCCATCATATTTAAAAATTTATCAAATAATATTTTTCCGTCATCTTCAGAAATATTATGACATTGGATAACACTATTTCTCTTTTACTTACAGTAGTCTAGTTTCATGATTTTTTTAGTAGTTTCTGTATCAAAGGAACGGCCTAATCGTTATCCGATTTATCATTACTTGTAGAGAGGTGAGCTGGCTTAAAACTTAGAGGAATTTTCAAGATTGTATTTAAGTGATGCAGTAAGGTGATCAGATAGCAAACTTGGACTGAATTGTTCTTTATCAAACGGAAATATGTCTTCATTAACAACAATTTAATGTGTTTGCGTATACTCCATGGCAGACAGTTCATTTCCAATGCAATAAATGTTGTTATCAAATCATCATCATCATCATTTCAGCCTGTTTGAGTCCACTGCTGAACACAGGCCTCCCCCTGCCACGAAGTATGATCCTAAGCCACCTGCATCCATCGACTTCCCGCACACTTGCACAAATAGAAGCTACGTTATCATGCCCAACCATAGCGTCGTAGGGTTTTGAAAATTGGTTATTAAGAACCAGAAAAGAGTCAGGTTTGTTGGTATCATCAAATTTAATTTAAATTTTTAATAAACTTTAAAAGTATAACTTCCAACCGTAGCGTTAAAGTAAGAATCAAGCCGACCAACTCAACGCCAATATTAAATTTTAGAATTGTTCAATTACCTAGCAATGTTTTGTAAGAAATAAAATAAGTATCCATACTGTGTATTAATGTTCAATTGTTTTTCAACGCTACCTTTCCTTTTGTTGCGTTTATATAATTTTTTTTCCAAATAACGTAGGGCGGTACCGGTACATGACTCGGACGCCATACGAAATAGCCGACTTGGTGGAGTTGGCTGTTAAAGTTGTAACATTCCGTGACATGCGGAGTTGACTGATTTGCGAATAGCGATTTATAGAAAGAAATAGTGATTATATCGGAGTTATTGCTTTTGCAAATCAAGTGGAATTATTATTGCGTACAAACAAAGCCAAAAAATATTTTTGACCTAAGGTGGAGTTAGCTGGTTTGCCAATTAAGGTATCGATATGCAATTCTTTTGTACGTGTCTATTTTACTGAACTCCTAAATGGCTGGACCTTTTTTAAAAAAAAAAGTGTAGTACATTATGGACAAAAATTTGAATGGCATGAATATAAGAATAACAATTTTCCATATTTAATTGTTAACATGCCATAATTTGCTCTAATATGATTTTATAAGTTCCTTTAACACATAACATTAATTAAAATGCAAAATAAAATTTAGATTTAAAACATTAAGAAATTAATATAGTACTTAATACAATAATTTGAGAAAATCGATAAACAAGTAGGTGGTACGTATTATTGTACCAGAGGTGGCAGAAGTAATTCTATTTCAATGTTTTGTTCAAACAATGTTCCACATCATTACTCTATTCACAAGCAACAATTAAGGATAACGGAAGTTTATATTTTGTA